GAGAGGGGGATAGAGAGAGAGAGGGGGTGGGGTTGGAGTGAAAGAGTGTGTGGGAGATACAAAAGTAGATTACCCAGCAGGGTATGCAAAGAGATATTAGAAAACCATAGGGGCCTATACTGTTTTATTCAAGAGAAAAAAAGGGGGTGGGAGGATATTGGAGGTAAAAGTCAACGATGGAAGGCGAGGTGGCCTATTGTGTGGTTTACTGAGATCAGTGGCGGTGGGTAGTGAAGGGCTTACGGGCTTGAGCCCCCTCCCCACACCCCAACTTTATCCCAAAGTAAATAAAAGTTTCTTAAATAGCGAAATAAGAAGTTAAAACCGTTGTGATCGTTCACATTGAAAACAGAGTGTGATCAACTTGGCGGCTTGCTCGTTTATCCAATCACTGCTGTCAATGCTTGCAGCTATAGTAACCTAAAAGCCAATCAAATGTCTTTAGGGCTCAGCAAAGGACGAACCCGTTCCCACGGACCTTCCTAAATGAAACTCCTCTAGTAAAAAGGTAGAAGACTTCCAAAAATAACAATAGCCCTGACAATCCGGAAAAGGTTTACGACACACTTTCCCCCCGTGATACGGAAACCTAAGCTCTCAGTGGACCTTTGTTAGATGCTGTCTGCTTTCCTCGACTACACGGCCAAATACTGCTCATAGACGGAATATGTTTGAAGTGCTGTGTGTGCGTGTTTGTGTTTGTGCCCCTGAGATTTAACAGTTATAAATAATTTCGAAACACTTTTAATTTGAGGTGAAACGGCTTCGTCGACCCCACCATCCAAAAAAAATTAACACTGAACAAAGAGAAGGGAGATAAGGGGGACTCTTCTAGTTTGAATGGATCTCAAAACGTCGTGGCTCACCGTGAATATTGAAAATTCATCACTGTTCAGGTCTTATTGCTTTCTATTTGGTGGTAAAGACGTGGAATCAACCTAAGCCAGACCAAAAGTTTGGTCCACCCACCGCCACTGACAGAGGTATAGGAAATAAATGCGTCAGAGAATTTATTATGGACAATTGAGAGAGACAAAGTGAGAAGGAATCGAGAGAGCAGAGATAGAGATAAAGAGATAGGAAGTGAGAGAGAGAGAGAGACTTATAGAGAGACTTACAGAGAGAGAGAGAGAGAGAGAGAGAGAGAGAGAGTATGTGTGTGTGTGCAGTGGCGGAGCGTAATGAAGGGCTAAAGGGCTTGGCCCCCACCCACCTCCCAACTCTTTCCCTCCGTAAATGAATGTTTCTTCTAATAAACGAGATCAATTGAAACCGTTAGAACTGTTTCCGAATCTTCCGCTTCCGCCATTAGTTGTATGCGGTGAACACACACGCTTGCTCGTTTATCCAATCACTAAAGTCACCACTTACAACGATAGTAACCTACCAGCCTATACGTTCTTAACGATCTCTCTGACCGTCAAGCTACCAGCCAATCAAACTTAATGTGTTTAAGGATCAGCAAAGGATGGGCCCATTCCCACGGTCCTTTCTTAATGAAACTCTTCTTGAAAAAAGGTTAAAGAAACAAATGAGAGCCCGTGGAAACTGCTGTTAGACAGGGCTCGTTCTCTGCCAGCTCAGACAATGGGGGGAAAGTTCATAATACACTTTCCACAGAGACTCAGTAACCAAAACACGCCCATGAGCCCACGTTTTAGGAATGCCTTGCTTTCTGCGATCCCGTTGCCTAATCATGTAACTGTTGTCTGTGTGCGTTTGCGTGTTTAAAATTAACAAAAATAATTTTATTTAGTGTTTTACGGCGCTCGCAACTGCATAAGGTCATATTATGAGCGCGTTTGCGTGTGAGTGTGTGAATGAAACATACTCACACATATCTAGAATATCCTCTGAACCAAGGAAATCTTACCTTTGAACTCTACCTACCCTCATTTCTCAGCCCCACCCACATTTAGAACCACCAACCGCCACTGTGTGTGTGTGTGTGTGTGTGTGTGTGTGTGTGTGTGTGTGTGTGTGTGTGTGTGTGTGTGTGTGTGTGTGTGTGTGTGTGTGTGTGTGTGTGTGTAAGAGAAAGAGAGAGGGGGATAGATAGATAGATAGATAGAGAGAGAGAGAGAGAAAGAAAGAGAGAGAGAGAGAGAGAGAGAGAGAGAGAGAGAGAGAGAGAGAGAGAGAGAGAGAGAGAGAGAGAATAGTAAAATATAAATATAACAGAGAGGAGACAACTAAAGCAGTCAGGAAAGGAATAAAGAGTTAACATACTTTAGTGAAACTGGAAGAGTTTCAAATGCAACAACATTATTATCATCCCGTAAAAGAAAAACATTAGAAAAACATGTAAAAACTAAATACAATGTACTACCACAGGGAGAAAAGGTGTATATATCTATTAATCAGTGCAAAAGTGAAATGAAGACGCCGCCAACAGAGGTGAAAATGATGAGGACAACTACAACCGCGACAAAGACGACGACGACGACGATTATGATGATGCTGATGGTGATGATGATGACGATGACGATGATGATGATGATGATGATGATGATGACGATGACGATGATGATGATGATGACGGGCGACGGCGGGTGGCGACGACGACGACGATGATGATAAACCCTTCATCAATAACACAGCCATTACCTCGACAGGAAGAAACCCCATTATAAACGAACCTTTAAAAAACTCTCCTTATACCCAAACTGGGATAATCTACACGGACGAGGAACTATCAAATTTCTCCTGAACACACATTGTCCCAAACATTGGTCATAAACCTGACTTCTCATTTCAAAGAGTTTAAATTCATCATTAAGAGCAACCCCCCTTCCCTCTCCCTTCCCCTTATCTCCTCCCTTTTTACGTAGCCTACACAAATTATGTATGACTATGGCCATGATGGTGATGAACAAAGATTCGTGCAGCCTAGTACATGTGTTTTTGTGGTGCCACGTAGGCTACGTTACAAGAGAGGGACGCGATTCGAGATGTCGACCCATCAGTCCTGGTAAAATGTTCTTATAATTTTAAATTAGAAGAGGAAATGCATTGCCATTTCGGCAGCCGCATTTTTATTGGAAGTTTTGTTCCGTTATTATGAATACGTCATCATCATCATCATCATCATCATCATCATCATCATGATGATCATCATCATCATCATCATCATCATCTTTCCACCTTTCCTTATCCTGGGCTAGTCGCTTGATGTCACTTCATGTCGTCCCACTTTTCTGTACATCCATTTCCATGACTCAGGTTCCACGTGGTTTTCCCCTTGATCTTTTACCCTGTGGGTCCCAATCTAACACTTTACTTCCTTGTTATGCAGCTGCTTGACTTCTTGAAAGTGTGTCCAATCCATCGCGAACGCCTTCTTCCCCCCTAATCTCACGTCATTGTTATAGGAAATGACAATGGAAGGGAGAGGCAGTTCAACCATTTCAAACGAAGGACGTCATCATAGCTTGGAATAGCACTTTTTGTTTAACGTACGAGATGTGATGTATGCTGTCATATAGCTTGATGATTCTATAGAAGCAATTCAAGGGATTTTTTAAATGAAAAAGAAATAATAATAAAAAAAAAAATTAAAAAAAAAAGCCCAAGACATTTGGATTCATAAAGTGATGAAATTCCGAGATTCTCTCCAAATTTTTTGAATTATTATTCAAAATTTCTATAACCCAAAAGAATGCGTGTAATCAAAATAAGACTTACAAAAATACAAAATACAAAAGAATCAGATATTGATTGAAAATCTCAGTCCTTTTTTTTGTTTTGTTTACCACAGTGCATTAAAAGAACGTAGGCATTATGCCACTCAGAGACTTTGCTTTATTTGATTATAACAATTTCTTCATTATTTTAGGACAAAAGAGAAACGATGGCTGTTATTATGCCGACACGTTGGAAAACTCAAGACACACGCCGATACTGTTATTCTATTTCATTTATTATCGACTACTAGTATCGACTTCTCTTCGTATCTGAGTTGTTCTTTTGTGTACACTATGATTATAATCAACATTGGGAATTTGATAATTGTTTCAACGCAGTTTAAAAAAATAAGAGCACATTTCATTTAAACAATTTATAACCTAATTTAGATATTAAAGAATATAATTGGTTGAACTGTTTAAAAAAAAATTACGTTAAAAATAGATTAAGTCATTATTTTTTCCGAGGGATTGTCCAAAACATTTTGAAGAAACTAAGAAACCAAGCAGACGTCCGATTGGCGACTGGGCGGACTACTAAACTACTCTATTCCACAATTTGGCATGGGCACGGGACATAGAGATCTAAGTTTCAACCACCGCACATTTTCAAATCTCTCTAGATTAGTAGATTAGATTCTAATCTAGATCTAGATCTAGATGTAATTTAGGCCTAGGGTAAATCCAACATTGGCTTTGTATTTTACTTTCATTTTCTATTCATCGAACAGCATCAATCAGAGCAAAGCGTTTCCAAACATGAAATTGAAAGCACCAGGAAGTGTAAACTAATGATTATGAGTAGCGTGATACGACACCCTAAGTATGGTAAGCAAATCTGGCATCAAAATTAGAGCCTTTGTAGCCTACTTTGTGTACTAATTATTTTATGTCTAATATGTCTAGATCGTACGTGCATGTAATAATTTACTGTACTGCCCTAGACACCATAAGTTAGTTGTTTGATCTGGAGTACTGTCTGCTTTTAAACTTTGGGCCTGATTTCCAGTGTGATAAAACTATAGACTGTGTCTCTTCTCATGACAGGCATCATAATACTTTGCAAGTAGGCCTACATATATCATCTGACAGTGTCAAGAAGGCTTTCTTCTAGATGTTATGATTGCCCACTGTCCTTATGAGAGTCCAGGTTATTTGAAACTCTGAAACCTCATCAAGGGACAAGTAAACTCTAATAAACCTACTCAACAATGCGGAGAAAAACAGGGGGGGAAATACGAAGGGGTGGTTTCACCAGAGCATTTGGCCTAAATTTATTTTTGTTGAAGAGAACAAAAAGGCAATTCAATGAGTAACCAAATACATCATGTACGCTATTGAAAATATTGAGAAACAAACTGTTGCATGAACAAGGTACTTGACATTGATAATAAGAACCTTTACATTAAGAACAAGAATATAATAGGATACAAGAAACCATATATAACAGGCCCGGTTATAACAGGGATCCGGTAATAACGGATTATTTAAATCCCCGTTTTTTCCTACTCTTTGTCTCTATTAAAAGTTATCGGCAATAACAGGGCCTCATCGCAGCCCAACCGGTTATA